CAGTTGGACTTAGACAACATGTGGTTCCCTATACGGGACCCCACATCAAACGGCACGTGACACAATCGAAACATTTAAAATAATGTTTTCAGATCAATTAATTTCAAGAAATGGTGACATTGATTCATTATCATCATTCATTACAGCCCTTTACAAGTCCACTGCTGAACATAGGCCTCCCCCAAGTAATGCCACAAAGTACGGTCCTGAGCCACCTGCATCCATCGACTTCCTGCATATCTTACCAGGTCATCACTCCATCTAGTGGGGGGTCGCCCTACACTACACCTACCGGTACGAGGCTGCCACTCGAGAACCTTTCTTCCCCATCGGTTATCGGTTCTTCGAGCTATATGGCCGGCCCATTGCCACTTCAGCTTACTAATCCGTTGGGCTATGTCGGTCACTCTGGTTTTACTGCGGATATCCTCATTTCTGAGTCTATCACGCAGAGAAACTCCGAGCATAGCCCTCTCCATAGCTCGCTGAGCGACCTTGAGCGTCCTCATACGGCCAGCAGCGAAGGACCACGTCTCAGATCCGTAAGTCATCACTGGCAACACACACTGGTTGTACAATCTAGAGCAATCTCTAAAAACTTTTTTGGTGTTTTTGGTTTTGGTTTTGAGAGGTATTTTGTACCTGACGAGAAGATATGTCGTAATTTCCCGAACGCTGCCCAGCCGAGTTGAATCCGTCGATTGACCTCTCGGTCGAAGTTGGACTTACCTAGTCGGACTATTTGTCCCAAGTAAACGTACTCGTCAACAACTTCGAGCATAGTGCTCCCAAAAACTACCGGCATAGGTGTAACATGGACATTAAACATGATCTTTGTTTTGTCCATGTTCATCTTAAGACCTATCCGTTGAAAGGCACTATTGAGGTCGTTGAGCATAGTGCTTAAGTCCTCCAGCGATTCTGCCATAAGGACTATATCGTCGGCAAATCGAAGGTGAGTGATGTACTCGCCATTGATGTTAATACCGTATCCTTTCCAGTCCAGTAGCTTGAAAACGTCTTCCAATGCAGCGGTGAAGAGTTTCGAGGATATAACGTCACCCTGTCTTACACCTCTCTGCAGTTGGATAGGTTTCGAGCTCTGGTTCTGTACTCGGATAGCCATCGTAGCCCTACTGTACAAACACTTCAGCACTTCGATATACCGACAGTCAACTTGGCACCGCTGAAGGGACTGTAGCACCGCCCAAATTTCAACGGAATCAAAGGCTTTCTCATAGTCCACATACGCCAGGCAAAGTGGCAGATTGTACTCTTCGGTCTTCTGTACAATCTGACGCAGAGTATGTATGTGGTCTATGGTACTGAAGCCTTTTCGGAAACCGGCTTGTTCGGGAGGCTGGAAGTCGTCGAGTCTGCGTGCGAGACAATTCGTAATGACTCTCGAAAACAGCACGTAGACGCGGCTCAGAAGGGAAATCGGTCTGTAGTTCTTCAAGAGAGCGTTGTCGCCTTTCTTAGAGAACAAGACCAGACAAGGACGGAATTGAAGAGCTTCTGAAGGACTTCAAGTACCGGTGTTCCACCCGCTTTCAGAAGCTCCGCTGTAATTCCATTCTCGCCTTGGAGCCCTGCCGTTTTTAAGGTGCTGGAGAGCCATTCTAATCTCGCTTAGACTGACGTCCGGGATATCATCGGAATAGTGTCGGATAAGACTTGCTCTTGGATCGTTACTCACACTTGCGTGTGGCTCCAACGATGATGTGTACAACTGCCCATAGAACCTCTCAATCTCATAATGATTTCTTAAATTTACGCGAACACTACACATTGAATAAAACTAAATTTACGGATTTTATCGCGTTTATTTCACTACTTTTACTTATTTTTAATTCCCGACGTTTCGGGTGCTTTACAGCAACCATGGTCACGGGGGGGGGACTGAGATGTTTGACGTCTCAATGTCATAGTTAGTCCGGCTACCTTCAGTTTTTGAATATTAATTTTTTGGTCCGATTTACGCAAAACGAGCTTATAGTATCATGAAGTCTTGCAGTGGTATGCTTAGGTTTGGGTTTAATTTTGTTAATTATAGGATCCCAAGCAGGTGGCAGCACCCATCCATCTTCTCTATTGAAATTTGGATGTTTTTTAATTTCAATAGCCTCGCGTATCATCCTTGGTAGGAATCGGTGTTCTTTTGCGAGAATTTGTGGTTTATCAAAACGAATGTAATGGTAGGGACGATCTTGAAATATATATAATAAACCGTTAAAAAAATCCAAGTCTTGCAACTCAGTTCTTCATAAAAACACAGTTCAGTCAATCTATTCATTTAAAACATAAAAGATTTTAATATTGATATGGTCACAATAAGATGTCATTATGTTAGCTAATTACGTAATAACTTAAGACAGAAGGACCCTAAAGAAGGAACTGAATAAATTAACCGACTTAGTATTACATTGATCTCACAACTTTTCACGATAGAAGAACTGAGTTGCGAGACTTGGTTTTTACAAGTTATGTTTTTGATGGCATCTCATTTCTTTTTGCAGATTGTCCTACTTTTTTTTCCTTCCGGTACCTCCTACTTCTAGATTACCAACAAAGTACCTATCTACACTTTTTATTTCATTATATTATATTATACATATACAGGTACACTGATACATTCACTGCAAATGTAACTTTGTAATCCTTTATAATTATATGGGATTACAAAGTTATTTATGCAGTTAGTGTATCTAGGAAACTGGACCGAAATTGAAAAATATTTAGTTTTTCCTTGATTTATACACTAAACTATAATTGTGTTCTAAGTTTGAAGCTTCTATATCTGCTAGAAGTGCCTTAGAGTTTTGATAATCGATCAGTCAGTGAGTGAAGAAACTTTGACTAATTATAATTCCTAAACTGCTGGTTCAAATTGAATAAAATTTGAAATATACCGTGTCTATACAATGCCTGCTTGTTTTCTAAAATAAAATTAAATTCAGGTCTCTAATTCGATCCACAACGAAGTTATATGGGGTCGAAAATGGCCTTAATTGCTTCGAGAAAAGTATGGTACGGCCGTGCCGCTTTTTTGCTCGACTTTGCGGGGACACTGCCGTGCCCCTAGATTTTTGAAGTTATACCGAACCCTGACTGCTTTAGTCGTATTTTTTACTGCGTCTAACTAAACCAAAGCTTGTGTTTTTATGATTTGCCATTTATCGTCCTCGAAGTACTCGGAAATGTCCTATATTTGGTGCTACGAGTGACTTTAAGGAAAATATGATACGACTTATAAAGATATATTAAAATGTTACGAGTGGACGAGACATTTGTTAAAAAGTACCAGAATTTTATTGATGGTTGATGATGGATTGATGGATATTGTTACGACACAAAAAGAAACGACATGGAAGAAAGCATCATTACCGACCGTTACACGCGTAAAAATGCAACAAATGCTTAAAGCTTATTACTTGATTTTTAAAAATATATTAAAATCTCATTCTAAAATACGGAAAAAATAGAAGATTTCCTTGCTTGTATCAGAGTGTTGTTAGATATTTCTTTCTGTAAATGTTTTAATTTTACCAACTGTTCTTGTCTAAGGAAAGTAAAGTCACACGAAATAATCAATGTTTTCTTATGGACCAAAGATCTGCTAGAAAGAGACACAGACGTAGCTACAACAAAGAAAATCGGAAAGTCTAAATAGAAATCTTAAACGGCAAATGTTAAAAACAAGTTTTCGCATACTAGCCAGCACCGGATTGCCAACTATCTCTATTTCTCTAGTAAACTCTTCCTCTTCTTCAGCTACAGAGTCTGATGCGTCCAATGATGGTGTAGATTTTCAACCAGTTAAAATGAAGCAACAAAAATTGAAGGCTTCTGTTACTCTTGAACTATCTGCATTGTCTCGAACCTGCGATGGATACAAAACAGTCGCAGCTATTGCCTCCGTTTTACAAAAGTTAAGATGCCTCTAATCGACGAAAATAAACACAGAAGAGAAGGAAAGAATGCTCGAGAAGATATTTTAAAAAAAAATTCTCAAGTACTGGCATTGTAATTCGATGGTCGAAAGGATAAAACATTAATAACTGAGAAAACAGGCAGAAAAAATTACAGAAAAATAATAGCAGAAGAACATATTTCACTAATTAAAGAACCAAACAGTAAACACTCAGGCCCGTGACTCCATCGGTTGGATCAGCGAAATTTATAGAAAGGGCTATTATTAATTATTTTATACTAGAAAACATATCATTGGATCATTTGATGGCTATCTGATGTGACGGTAGTAATGTTGATGTTGAAAAATTTGGTATCTAGTATAATACGGGTAATGAAGAAAACGCTAAATAGAAATTTACAGTGGTTCATTTGCTTACTTCATAATATGAACGAGTTGTAGTTTTATCATTAGTTATTTCATATTGATGATACGATTTCTGGTCACGAACTTTTACAGGAACTGTCGGAGAACCATTGGAAGACTGCGAAAAACTAGCTGTTGTGAAATTTCAAAGTATTTCAGGTGAACTGCCAGTGATCTCAGTTCATATATTATTATATTTTTACACAATAGTATCAGCTGTTACATCTGGTAATTTACCTGAAGACTTAGTAAGCAAATCACCTGAGAAAATGTCTCATGCTAGCTGGCTTATGCGAGCTAATCGAGTTCTTCGTCTTTACGTTGCAACATCAGTTCCTTCTGATCTCTTTACTTTAACAACTTACGTCGTCAACGTATACGCTCCAATATGGTTTCATGTTAAAACCCACTCCACTTGTAGATTCGGAGGAAGACATTTATACGAATTAATCTTTAGATCTCGTTACTTAAAACCAGAATTGGAGACTATTATTGACCCCTAATAAGACGCAGTGGTTACTTTGCGCATCCAGAAAGTCTCTGGTTAGCAATGCTGTCGGACTCCGAAAAACATATCAGAGTATTGGTTTTTCACCGTGTCTTAAAAACTCGTGCTGAAAAATCAAACAAATTAACACTTTTTCAGGTTTCAGACATAAACATGAGCGTAGGAGTTGATTATGACCTTATTAACTGGCTAACTGAAATAACTGAACCACCAATATTGAAAAAAGTTTCTTACGAATTACTGGAGTCTTTCTTCAACCAAGGAGAAGAAAACCGTATAGCTTTCTTGCTTTTATCTTGTCACACCCAGGCCGTCGAGAGGGCAGTAAAAACTGTGATTGAAGCTGCGGGAGTCTTGGGTTCAAAATCAGCACGTGAAGGTTTTATAAAAACGCAGACTGAGCCTCGCAAACTTATGTCTAAATTTTGACAGCTAACAGAATTTTCATATAGATTAAAATACATTTGAAATTTTGAAAATATCAGTTTTTCTCTAAAATTCCTTTATAATGAAATAAGTATAGCTTATTATGATAGTGTTTTATTATTTGTGCTGTGTAGATAAACCCATATTTACGAATAAGAGCAAAAAGTTGTTCGAGTTTTCAGTATCGTAGTTTTTTTTTTCAGAATTTCAAGGTCAATCTAGACGCAGAAGACAATTTCCGATCAATATGAAACTTTTTATTGTAATTCATATGAACACTTGACACATTACAATTTGAAAGAAAACAATTTTTTTCTCCATAAATGCGTGTTAATGTGTAAATACACCCTATTGTATACATACCTCTCTTTTGACTACCCTATAGTAGTATAGTGTCAACATGCCTTACAAAACAATTTTGCCTACAATGTAACGTATTGATTAGATACCATAGACAAACTACGTTCAAGGAAAGGAAAATATAATCAAAAACAAAATAAGAACGTAGAGTTAACTGGAAAAAAAAACGAAGACTATGTCGTCCTGGCCACTTACCTGTACAACCAAGAAAAAAGAAAGTGACAATACTATATACTTAACAAAACAAACTCCATTCGCACAGCAGAGGCGTAGGTATTCCGTGGAACTAATTGATATAATTATTTAAATTGGTTCAGTAGAAGCAATCTGACCGTCAGAGATTTCGCTGCTAAATGCTAATATGCTTGTAAATATAATGATAGGGTAAAATAGTACCAAAAACAAACTTTAAAATCTTAATATTTATAAATTTCGTGTCACAATGTTCCTTAACGCTAATCTCCGAAACCGCTTAACCTATTTTAAGTAAATTTTGTGAATGTCTGTTTCTTGCTCCAACTTGAGAGATTATATAGTTTTTATCACGATAAGTGACCCTAAATATTTTTATTGCGAATTGAAGGATTTTATATAGGACAAAGAGTCGTTGGAAAAGCGTCGGAGGCCTGGAATAATTAAAAAAATTAAAAATTATGTTCTGAGTTAAAATTAATTTTAATCGAGTAATATAACACGTAACCAGAGTAAATACACCTCTAGTTTTGTATTACCAAAGAAATATTGAATATTTTTAGTGGGTTTTAGTACTCTATTGCATGAAATGCTAGTAAATAATAGATTTTTTGTATTTTATTATTTTGCGAAATTTTTTTTTCAAATGTAACATAAACTTATAACTTCGTCAAATTAAATTAAAACATTTTCAGTTCTATTTTACGTGAATTTACATTTACAAACAATAGTTTTTTTTATATGGAAAAAAGGGTGACAAACGGGCACACAGTTCACACGAGTTCCATCACTTGATGGAAAGTAAATACTGGTGTCCATATACACATCGATTTATTCTTTATTAAATATCAACAACGCATGTTGTCGCCACCGAGAGCTAAAATGGTAAGGCTCTACACAAGCAAAAACTATCTCAGATTTGCTTCATTCTGCGTACAAAATACAACAGCGTTATAATATGATCCTTCCCCAGTCGAAATGAATCGTTCGTTTTGCAGACATTATATGTTGCGCTATAACTCATCTACACAAAAATAACAGTCTTCAAGCCTGAATATTATGTTACTCCAAAGCATATTCCACGTCGAAACAGTAACAAGAAAACCAGACCTTACAATACAGCATGCTGATAAAATTATAGTTAATCGAATTGTGTAACAACTATTATATGTAACATATCGTGTAATGAAACATATTACTACGGGTAGAAGCTGCAGATACGTCGCTGTAATTCCGTATGCAAACATGATAAGATAATACACGATTTTAGTTTATTTCGCTATTCTCTACAATTACTATTGTGATAACATTTTAAATGGCTTTTTTGGGTATTGTGGAATTTATATGTGTTATACGTGGAAGAGCCTTATAGAGTATTATGGTTGTAGCACGAACGGGTCTTCCCGACCGGGGTAGGTACTCACAGAATACCAGCGTTAAAATAGCATCTTAATGCTGTTGTAGTTTCGTATGGTGAGTGTAGAAAACTGGAGACTCTTTTCACTTGAAACGAGGCAATCCGTCTTAGTCATCAGGGACGACAACACATCTGCAGTTCGACTCCTAATCGAGGATAGACGTAGATGTATACGGGCTACAGAACATACCATCCGGTTGACCGTGTGCTCTTTTATTAACCATATTCTACAAAAAATGTCTTTGCGTGTGTGTTTAAATGAAAAAATATTATTTAATAAAATGAAACTGGCAAAAACGCCTGTATCCAAGACAGAATACTCTCTCATTCTAAAACTTTAACTTTTATTTGTTCCATTTAATAACTCAGTATTACGCACCTCGGTGTTTGTCAAGGAAAATACTACTCTCTAAAGAGATATATTAGTTAATTGATTAAAACTACTTTTACGGATTTTAACGCGTTTAATTACACTTTTAATTATTTTATTTTTAATTCCCGACGTTTCGGGTGCTTTCCAGCACCTACGGTCACGGGGGACTGAGGTGACTGACGTCCCAATGTCATTGTTAAACCCGGAGTACCTTCAGCTTTTTTAATTATTGTTTATGGTCCGATCTACGCAAAATGAACTGATTATGTCCTGAGGTCTTGCAGTAGTATGCTTGGGTTTAGTTTTAGTTTTAATAATCAATAATGATTATAGGGTCCCAAGCAGGTGGTAGTACCCAGCCTCCTTCTCTATTGAAATTAGGATGTTTTTAATTTCAATATCCTCACGTATCCTTGGTAGGATTACGTTACAACGTACGTTAAACGCGATAAAATCTGTAAAATTAGTTTTAATCAATGTGTAGTGTTCGCGTAAATATAAGAAATCATTATGAGATATGTTAGGTTTATAAGTCGTATATTAATAATCTTTTTTTAAAGAATATTAACAATGCTAGAACATTACTAATATTCCCCTTAACCACTCGTAGTAAGCTTAAATTGCTTGTGTTACGAGTGGTTCACGCCAGTAGTCGAATGGCAGATTCGAACCTACGACCTTTTTGAGTTCGCGGTCCGCGTCCTGCCATTAGGCTATTGTCGCTTATGTTAGTTATTTTATGTTTAGTTAGTTTAATCATACGATGTTAATATTGAAAAGAATTACCGAAGTTGTGTTTGTGTTATGTTGTATTAAATAACAATGCTCTTTACAGCTTTTATTATATTAACTTTGTAGGATGTTTTATTGATTATAAAAATAAAATAGTGGTAGTATATCGATAAACCAAAACATAGGTACTTTAATTTTTCGTTTTTTTTTAACGGATGATAATTGATTGATCATCTTTAAGTTTTGAATTTATGATAACCCATGCTGTAACAGACTTAATGTTATACATAACCGTGCAAAACAACTCTATATTTCACCAAGGGTGCTCCGCGTGTTTATTAAAATTGATTAAAAAAAACACTTTATTTCAATAGCGGAAAAGGCGATTGAGTGAGACGTTAAATGTTATGAATTAATAAATAAATTACGAGAAAATATCTCGTAATTTATTTATTACCGAAAAGCTAAAGGGGCTTTCTTTATTAACCATGGTATCAGAACGTTGAACTCTTGAAACTTCCAGTAACCAAGACTGCTGACAAATGTAAACGTCGGGGTATAGCATAAAGATAAATAGATCAAACACAGTAATAGTCCACCTATAATAGTCCACTGCTGACCATAGGCTTTCCTTAAGGATTCTGCCATAGTTGGCACGCTTGGCAAGCAGGTTGGCAACCGCAGTTTGATATTTTGAGTTGTTATCATGAAGATGCTGCTGCACATCTCCTATTTCAGTTTCCTTCTGTCACCTCTTATGACACTCACAGGACGGTAAGAGGAGGTAGATATTCTTATACCGCCACTACAGAGGAGGTAGATATTCTTATACCGCCACTACAGAGGAGGTAGATATTCTTATACAGTACTACACTACACTATTTTTATATTAAGAACCTTTCTTGAGTTAAGCTTACAGTTATTTTTTATAGGGTATGGGTGAGAAACGAGCACATTGTCCACCTAATGGTAACTGGTAGCTGTGACTAGAGATGGGCCAAATATTCGTTTCATATTCGGTATTCGGCATATTCGGCAGCTTTACCGAATATTCGGCTAAATCACCGAACATTCGTTAAAGTGGTACTCAGTGTCCAACTGTATTGAAATGTACGAATTGAGTAATGGCATGTCTTTCATAATTTTTCTGTTGAAAGTATATTTTATTTATTTGCTAAATATGCCTGAAATGTTAGGTTTTTGTAGCACTGTGGATTTATTTCACATTATAGCAAATAGAAAGCTTGATAAAATATTTTTTGGAATCAAACAAATAAACATTATGTACATTACAATAAGTACATTCCACTTTACTTTGGTTGTCAGTTTCACTAAAATAAGTCCAAATCCATCATCACCTGCCATCACCTGCCATATAATTATCAATTTTCACTAAGAAAAACACAACGAAATACTTTTTTTCTCAACGAAATAGTCAAAACATAAGTATGTGTCGACAATTTGCTCAATACTAGATGATGTAATAACATGTCAGGTGTGGCGGGCGAGCGAGGGCCAGGGTCCGGTGTTCATCCCACGCGCTTTACAGCAACAAGTTTCGACATAAATTGGTTAGGTACCGAGGTGATCCTGCCGAATAATGTTCGGCCGAATATTCGGTTCGGTTAAAGTTTTACCGAACTTTCAGCCTAAATATTCGTATTCGGTGAAATCCATATTCGGCCCATCTCTAGCTGTGACCCATAGACATCAACATCTATCCCCGATTAAGGATCAAAATATAGATGCGTTGTCATCCCTGATTACTGAGATGGAATGCCTCATCACCTATAAAAGAGTATTATAATAAATATAAGTGTCATTTCTGAAAACAACGCAAAGTTGTACCAGAGATCAAACTTGGACTTTTCGGCCTTGTACTGTTCCATCGTGAAAATAATATAGATGTGAGTATGGACCTTACTTAAC